AAACCCCCCCCAGCACATCTGCTCAGCTCGAGCCTCTCTGCCTTCGGCTGCCCGTGGCTGTGGGTTTGATCCTGCCCAGGAGGACGGTGCTGAGGGCGAGTGGCTGGACCGGGATGGTGTGACAACGGGCTGAGCGGTGACAATTCAACGGGCAGCGGCATGGCTCGGCCAGCCCTCCCAGCGGTCACGATCCTTCAACCCGTGCCTTGTCCCTTGGCCTGTTGCTCCCCAACAATCCTGGGGGGAGAGAAAACCAAAACCTAACCCCATCTCGAGCTGAGGCTGTGGAAGGAGGGACCTACCTTGTTGCAGTTGGCCAGGTGAGCTTTCAACCCCGAGACGCTGGAGTAAATGGCTTCACAGCACTGCAGGAAGAAACAAAGCAGGGTTTGCCACGATCCCCCCTCGTCTCCGTGCCTTCCTCCGTGCCGGGGCCGGGAGCCCGCTGCGCCAGCAAGGCCACGGGTCCGGGCTAAGCAGCGTGAGGTTAATGCCCTGCGAGACGTGGAGGGCTCTGGTCACGCGTTTCCTATTAGTGCTAATGGGAGTCATGTGGCCACATCCCTCTGCAACGGGCTGAAAAACGTCTCCCCTAAATGTCTCGGTGGAAAGCGTACATCTGTGAGCAGTCGGCAGGTCCTGCTGGGCTACAGGAGTTCTCGGAGCCACAGCAGACGCTTAACGGAGAAAAGAAATCACCTGGGCAGCAGGATGACGGGTTTCTGCGCAACCTCTTTCCGAAGTGCCCGTGTATGACATTAATTAGCCTGCGCGTCTCCCCCGGCCTTGTGGTAACAGCCTCATTCAAAACTCCCATTAGCAAGGCTTTGTTTCAGATGATAAATCAACGGCCCGGCACAGAGGGTGGGGTTCACCTCCCCGCCAGCTCAGGCCAAGGCTGCACGGACACGCGCCACGTCCCCGAGGTCTTTGCCTGTCACGGGGCTTTAAAAAGAATGGCTTCGAACCAGCCCCGGCTTTACTCTGGGAAAAGCAGGTTCTCTGCATAAAAAGGCTCTCGAGCACGGAAGCGTGCAACCTTCGCCCCGCCTGG